CTGGCGAGTGGCTAGGCGGCCGGGTGTGTTATGGCAAATGGGGTGAGATGCCAACAATGGCGGCATGTCGGGGGTAGGTGGGGAGCTGTTCCCTGTCTCGTTCTCTACATTTTCCTGGAGGTTTGAAAATGTTCACGATTACAATATTGGGAGCAAAAAGACAGAGCAACCAGATGGCAAATCCTAAACTTATGGACATTTATAGGGGAAAAAAACAGTTGACCAGGAGTCCCCTGTGAATCCCAAAATACAAAAATACGGGGAGCAAAAATAAAATGCAACCCCAAACCCTTAATGATTGACTTGATAGCTGGTCAACGTGCATAAAAACAAACAAACAAAACAAAACATGTGTTGCTTACTTTCATTCTCCCAGGGTTTGATGCTCATAAAGAATTTTTACATAATGCAAAAGATTAGGATGTTGGAAGGAAGCCCGGTGAGTGGAATGGGAAGGCAGGAAGAAAAGACAAGGTCACCCCTGGAAGATCGCGTCCCCCAGGGCTCCGAGCACCTTCCTACGGGAGGACCAGGGGCAAGTGGAGGTGCAGAGCAGATGGGGTCAGCCACAGTCTTCACCTGCGACCAGGTGAGGTCGTGCAGGAGGCGACACTGTCCCTGCAGTAGACGCAAAAGCTCATTTGACCTGGTGGTTTCTTCCACTTCCCCAGGAAAGCCCCGGAGTAGCCAAAGAGGAGTCAGTGAAAGCCAGCGTGGCTCAGTGGTTGAGCGTCAGCTCATGAACCAGGAGGTGAGGGTTTGATTCCGGGCAGGGCACATGCCCAGGTTGTGGGCTCGATCCCCAGTGTGGGGCGTGCAGGAGGCAGCCGGCAATGATTTTCTCTTATCATGGATGTTTCTATCTCCCTCTCCCTTTCCCTCTCTGAAATCAATAAAGATATATTTTTTAAAAAGTGGCACCAGGTGAGGAGTGTGCTGCTGACAGAGGGCGCGCGGTGTGGGGAAGTGTTTTCAGCCCCCGGCGGGAGCCAGGCTCACTTCCACTGGCCGCTTCCCACATGGGGTCTGACCATCTTCTGCTGTTGCCTGTTAGCGCTGGTTGTCGCCTCTGGCCAGTGGTTTGTGCTTGAAGAGATTTCCAGAAGGGGCTGTCCTGGTCCCACACAGAGGGTCTCCCTGGGAGCCGGGAGCTGGGGCGCCTGCCAGGGACTCAGGAGCCTGGAGGCCGGCGCATTGGGGCCTGGAGGAGCAGGACCTGACTCGGAAACGGGTTCTCTTTGGGGTGCTTTTCCCACGTGGACAGTGAAGAGCCTGCAGGGAGAGGAGGAGCCAGCCTTCCATCTGCTGCACAAGCCGCTGCTGAGAACAGCTCCTGCTCTTCCTCCCGCCCACCCTGCGCCTGCACCCCCGGACCTGTCCCCTGAGGCCCCTTTCCAGGGAGCCTCCCCGCTTGGTGCAGAAGCTCACAGCGCCCGCCTCCGCCTCCTGGAGCACCCTCGCCTGGCTGAGGCTGGCTTTGCTCCCACTGAATCCCCAGCGCCCACTTGTGCCTGGTACATACCCTTACATACTAGTATTTTATCTGTGCGGTGACTGGACGGCTCCACATTGCATTGTCTGTGCAATTACTGTCGAATCTCATCCCCTAAAATGCATCACTTTGTAAATCAGTGACACTCAAAGTGCCAGACAAGGGAGCTAGAGATTGATCCTGACTCAGAGAGCGTGGGTGCAGGGGGGCATGTCACTCTGTAGACGTGTTTGCAGTACTCACAGGGCTACCTCTACCTGCCTGGTCAGGGCCACTGAGGTTCATTCAGCCTGCCGCCCGGAGCCCCCTTTGTCTTCTGCGTCTTCAGCCTTGCGGTGTTTCCTCCTGCCGTCGGGTCGGGGCCTGCCTGGCACGCTCCCCGTCGCCACTTCTCATTCTGTGTAGGCCTCACTGTGGCAGATGCCGCCCGCTGAGCAAGACCTCTGCCCTCAGCGCCTTCCCTCCTGTGGCTTGTCTAGCAGCCGTGACTGCACGCCTTCTAGGTCTTTCTAAGCGATGCCCGTCTTGACTTCAGGACTGGCCCTGCTGTCGCCATTTTTCTAAGTAAATCACCGCTTTGTGGGATTTGCCTCTCTTCTCAAAGTCCAGCGCAGACAAAGGCATTGCAGCGCCATGCAGGAGCTGGGCTGTTCTCAGAGCGCGCCGGCCAAGCCCAGGCCACCAGCTGACATGCCCCGTGTCTCACGGCTCTGCTGGTCCACGTGGGGACCCGGAGGGTGTCAGGGAGACAGGCCTCCCGGGCCTGGGCCCAGGCAGCATCCCGGCTCTGGGAGCCCTGTGGGAGCCGGGACCATGCTGTGTTCATCTTGGCCCCCTGGCGCCCGGCACCGTTTCTGACACTTAGTAGGACTTAGTGTGTTTGTGGAGTTAGCGAGAGGAGAGAGGAAGGAGAGGAGGAGCAGGATTGAAATGAGAGATGAGCTTCCCTTCCAGGGCGGGACGTTAGAGGTGTCGAATGGCGTGTTTGGTAAATGGGTTTGCTGCTCCTTCACGTGTGAACTCCCTCCCAGTGGGTATCCGATGTGCTAGAAGAATCTGGTACCAGAGATGTGAAATAAAAACTCCCCGCTCGGATAGTCTCCAACTGGGTAAGAAATAACGTCAGGATATCATGTAACAGGACCCATCCGGACACACCTTAGCCCTGCAGCTGCTGCGAGGAGGGACGGGAGGTCTGTGTGACCGAGCAGAGGGAGTGCCCTGCCACGAGCCCTGAGGTCTGTGAATTGTTGCTGCTGCTGGTGGTGGTGACTTTGAAACTTGCATTGCACTTCCTGGAGTTGCTCTTAAGTAACTCATTGCATTTGCTTGGCTGGTGCTTGCTGAGTTGTGCAGAGAGATCATTGTGCAGAGTCCTGTCAATTAGGGTGAACCTTATTGTGGATAGAACCCCTTGGGAGGGAGGCACGGGGTCCAGGAGAGGCTCCTTTCTTTCTGCTGCAGAGAGCCTGTGCAGAGAGCCCGTTGGTAGGGGGGAGAGTCCAGGAGAGGCTCCTTTCTTTCTGCTGCAGAGAGCCCGTTGGTGCGGGGGAGGGGGGAGGGCCACAGGGACCAGCGACCATAAGCGGATTAGCAGGGTGAAGAGGGAGCTGGTGACACCATCAACAGCTGACCCCTCCCTCAGCACCCCGCCGAGCTCGCTGCTTCCTCCCTGCGTGGATGAGCCCAACGTGGCTGCCTGCTCACTGACCTGACCACTGCAGAAGCCACTCGTCACAGAAGGGGAAGTACCTCCCCTGTAAACCTCCATCCACTTCCGAAGTCTCTCACCGAGGTGCTGCCTGCAGCCTGGGCTCTGGCCCTGGACTGGAAACGGGTGGGCTGTGTCCCCCCTGCCCTCTCTCTCCCCTTGGCGCCTGTGCCTCGGCTGGCCCTCTGTGGGGCGCCTTCGTCCCCAGCCCCTCCCCCTGGCAAAGCTTACCGGCCCCTCCACCAGGAAGCCTTCCCTGACCTCAGCTGGGCCGGCTCCTCTCTGAGCCTCGGCCGTCCCCTTGGTACACTGTACGTCACCATATTCTGGTCTGACTATGGCCTCCAAGGGGCCGTGAGCCCCTTGTGGGCGGGGAGCAAGTCAGAGTCAGCGTGTACCCCGGTTACCCCCGCATGGTGGGGCTCGATCCAGGGGCAGTGAGCCAGCGGGCCCTTGAGCAGGCCTCCGTAAGCAGTGGTCTCGCGCTTTCTTGTCATCCTCCGAGGGCCGTCGGGGAAGATGGCCATTGATCATGGCCCCGGTGTCCTTTTCTACATTCCTCCGACTTTATTCAGGTTCCTCACAAGGAGCGGCTGTCAATTCCTTTCAGAATTTTTTGGGGTGAAATGTACATGACATAAACTTCACTCTAACTTGACCGAATATCTGTACAGCTCAGTGGCATGAAGTACACTCACTTTGTTGCACTCCCATCACACCATCCATCTTCAGGGCTGTGTCCTCATCTCAAACCAAGACTCGGTCCCCATGAACCACAACTCCCACCCCTGCCAGGGCCTGGGAACCTCCTCCACTTTCTGTCTCTGTGAATGTGACACTCTAGGCCAGTGGTCGGCAAACTCATTAGTCAACAGAGCCAAATATCAACAGTACCACGATTGAAATTTCTTTTGAGAGCCAAATTTTTTTAACTTAAACTATATAGGTAGGTACATTGTTATTAACTTAATTAGGGTACTCCTAAGGCTTAGGAAGAGCCACACTCACGGGGCCAAAGAGCCGCAGTTTGCAGACCACAGCTCTAGGCACCTCGGAGGCGTGGGATCACACGGAATTTGTCTTTTGCGTCTATGTAGCTTATTTCACCTCATAATGTCCTCAAGGTTCATCCATGTAGCACAGGCCAGAGTGTCCTTCCTGTTTTTGTTTTTGGGTGTGTTTTTTTTCTGTTAATCCTCACCCAAGCGTATTTTTCCATTGATTTTGAGAGAGAGTGGAAGGGAGGGGGAGAGACAGAGAAAGAGAAACATCGATGTGAGAGAGACACATCGAGTGGTTGCCTCCCACACGTGCCCAGACTGGGGCTGGGATGGAGCCTGCCACCGAGGTATGTGCTCTTGACTGGCATTGAACCCGGGACTCTCAGTCCATGGGCCGACGCTCTATCCACTGAGCCAACCCGGCGAGGGCCAGCGTTGCCGTCTTTGTAAAGCTGAACGATATTCCACTGCGTATGCGCCCCCCGATGGACGTTTGGTTGTTCCCGCCTGTTGACTGCTGTGAAGGGGGTGCAGACACCTGCTCGAGTCCAGGCTTTCAGCCCTTCTGGGTACCTGCCAGAAGCGGAATTGCTGGATCCGACGGTAGTTGCTTCCACCATTTAGAAACATTCGTAACAGCTCTGTAATGGTCATTTCAGTTCAAACCCAAGGCCGCCGTACGAGGGGAGGGGACGTAGAAATGCGGCTGAAATTTCAGCCTTTTGCCCTGTGACCTGCCTGATGCCCGCTGACATGAAATGGTTTGTTTTCAAGTGTGGTTTTAATTTTCTTACAGCATCAAGCTTCTCGCTGTGCAAGAACTCCTTGACAGAGAGGCCCTGGAAAAGGTAAATGTTTTGTTCTTTCTACCCCACACCCACACCAAAAAAAACAAACATGCAACTCCCTGTCATCAGGGAGGGAGTTGGCTGCAAGGCTGGGCTGTTACTTGTATCCTAACAGTCAGTGCACCACGAAAAATTGTAGTCAAAGCCCCCACGTTGCTCCTATGCTGCTAACACTTGCAGACCGCGCCTGGCTTGGCCTTCGGGGCTGTGTGAGGGCAGAGGCTCCCGCGTGGGCCGTGCTCTGGGGCAGCCGCCGTGCTCCGGACCCCACCCGAGTGCCAGGGTCCGTGACAGCCACTCCCCTGCATCTCTGCTGTGTGTCATCCCCTGGGCTAGTGGGTGATAAAACCGAGGCCCAGCGAGGCGACGAGCTAAGTGGCGGAGGAAGGAATCAAATCCCGTGGTTCCATTTCGAAAGTTGATGCTTTTTCTAATTCCTAGACCAGTTCGTGAGTTCGAGGCCCTTTTGGGGCTACTTCTAAGGAATGGGGAACCCCCTCCCTGCCTCAAACCACTGTGCCCTGGAAGAGATACCCGTGTACCTTGGCCTTTAGGTTCGTCAAGACACAGCTGGGACCCTTGGCCGGTTGGGGGTTTGAGGTCTGTGTCCGAGGCGGGTCGGGCTCCCAAAAGCAGGCTGGGCAGGTGCCAAGGAGGCCAGGCTCTCCAGTGCCACTCACAGACCCCAGACGCACACCCAGCTGCTCCCCTCGGGAGCTTAGGCCTCTTCCTAACTATGTGATTACAGGTGTTAATTAGAATACATAATGTCAGCAGAAGAGAAAGTGGTTAGAGCCCAGCCAGCGTGGCTCGGTGGTTGGCATCGACCTATGAACCAGGAGGTCATGGTTCGATTCCCAGTCAGGGCCCATGCAGGCTTGATCCCCAGTGGTGGGTGTGCGGGAACAGCCGATCAATGATTCTCTCCATCATTGATGTTTCTACCTCTCTCTCCCTCTTCCTTCCTCTTTGAAATCAATAAAATTATTTTTTAAAGTGGTTAGAGAGATAAGCACTGAAGTGATATTTTATTCATAGAATTGTTTGGATTAGTGGTTGGATGGCAGGTTGACACTGAAGCAAATTAAGTTTTTAGGCATCAAGCCGTGATGTGAGGGAGAGGGTGGGGGGACCTGGGCTCAGGCTCTGAATCTCACGTCCCATCAGCCTCGTTTCCATTCTGGGTAAAGCAAGGAGCGTGCTGCCTGCCCGAGCTCAGAGGCGGCAGGACACCCGGATGAGTGAGTGTAGCGGAAGGGCTTTCTAGCTGCCAAGGCACTCAGGCCGTATTAATTCTTAATTACATATGAATTCTTAATGTGCACCCAGCCATAAGGGGCACTAGGTCCAGGAGTGCATGAAGTTTCTCTGGATGGGCTTGAAACTTTGAAAAAGTTACCTCTCCTAAAACAAGTCTCTTCTCAGTAGTCACTGCACTTCCTGGTTTTACTTCTGATTAAAAACAAAAAAACACAACAACAGACCAAGCTGGTAAATACGCGGAGGCCGGAAAACACCGGCAGGAAAACATCGGCCAGGTCTTTGGAGCTGTATTACTATCCGATCTGGGGAGCCGCACAGAGAAGCCCATCTGGGGAGCCAAGGGCTGCGGGGTCCGGCAAAGAAGGGGGCTGTGTGGGGCGGGGCGTACAGTGTGGCTCAGGCTCCTTCCTCGCTGTGTTATTTCGGGGTTGCTAATCCTCTCTGTGCTTCGGTTTCCCAGTCTGTAGAGTGGAAATCCTTGTAATCCCCAGCCCACAGAGGTCTTGAAAAGACTAAGTAGACAGTCGACATGATCCCCCCTGGCACTGACTGATCCCCCCCCAAAGTTAGCTGCTGCTCCTGTGCCTTCTCCTTCCTCCTCCCCCTCCTCCCTCTTCCTCGCCAGGTCTGGCCGTGGCTTTGGACTGTTCCCTGTCTCCATACGTGACCGGCAGACAGCTTTCCACGACGGTCTGAATGGGCACCGGCCCGCTTCCTTCTTCCTTCTTTTGTGTTGTGTGCGCGTCAGTTCAGTCGCTCGCACTGCTGGCCTCTGTGGCGCGCTCTGCGTGCCAGGCAGGTAGCAGACACCTCAGAGAAGTCCGGAGGCAGCCAGTGGTCATGAGCATGGTGGCCAGCTGCATGTGAGTGGCAGGTGGAAGATGACCTGGCACAGACCTGATTTGCACCAGTTTACAGGAGCCTCAGGACTTACAGGTGCTTATCCACCTGGACAAGTGGGGGACCCACCAGGAAAAGCTCTTGGTAACTCCTAGAGCGTTGCTACCGGAGCCTGGCCTGCAGACCAGCAGCCTCGGAAGCAGTTAGAAATGCAGATTCTCGGGCCCCGCCCAGACCCCCTCCTAGGAACCAGGAGGTCATGGTTCACTTCTCGGTCAGGGCACATGCCCAGGCTTTGGGCTCGATCCCCAGGAGGGGGCGTGCAGGAGGCAGCCGATCCATGACTCTCTCTCATCATTGATGTTTCTATCTCTCTCTCTCCCGCTCCCTTCCTCCCTGAAATCAATAAAAATATTTTAACAATAAGCTATAAACCCTACAGATAATCATCTTAAGTCTGTCTACCAATTTCTTGTTTAAAAAAATAAAACTTTTAGACCCACAAGAAGGTGGTTTAATGCGCATAAATGTCAGGACCCGTGGCATCCTCTGAGGACGCCTTTTGGATCCGAAGGGCTTTTGTCAAACATCCCTCAGGTGCCGAGAGCAAGGACCTGCTCTGAGAAGGAAGCTGCCCTCCGGCCGTTCTCTCTGCTTTCAGGGCAGGACGCTTTTGTTTTCCTGAACTGAAGTCACACAGACTTCGTTCCCAGGCTTTATAAACAGGCCCACCTAATGCCTTTCAAACAGGGCATTGCATGAAAGGAAATAAAAATATTGGTACAGCTTGATTTAGTAAGATCATTTTTCAACGGCCCTTTCAACCCGCTTCCTGCAAAGCTGCAAACAATAGCTTGGCTGTGGCCTCCAGCTGGAGGTCACCCTCCCCCGAAGGGCCAGAGGGCAGAGCACTGGCCCACCCAACCCTCAACCTGCCCAACTCATGGCCATTGCCTGTGCCACTCCCACCCCCACCCCCTCCAGGCTCCCCGGCCTCTGCAGGCCACAACTCAGCCGTCCATCAAAGCTGACCGTGTCCATCTCCATCCTCTAGAACCCGGGCTCTGAGGCTGCACAGATGGGGGTGAGGCCACTCTGCGGTCTCCTAGCTGTGGGACTTCCTCTGCGGGTTATTGCCAAGCCTTGGTTTCTTTATAGCATGGGGGTGGGAGGTGTCACAATGATACCTACTTCATGAGAATTAAGTGAGATAATGTATGAGCTAGAAGGGATTATGTATATGGTAAGCACCAGAGCAATGGTGGCGAATTCTATTCCTACTACTGCTAATTTGCTGCTGCTGTGGCCATTGATATCTTATGTCATCATCGTCACCATTGATAACTTCCTCCTCCTTCTCTCTTGAGGAGCCCAACTTGAGATTGATTTGTCGCCGTTAGTGGATGTTAAAAAGGAGTCCCCCGCCCACCCCGATTGCCAAATTGTCTAGGACAAATGCCTGCCAGTCTTTCATGCCTGCTGCTGCCAGATGTTTCTCCCAGACTTTCAGCTTTGATGTCTGGCTCTTAGTCTAGCCGTTCTGCAGGCGGAGCAGGGAATTAATTGCTAAGTCTTCTGGGGGCTTCATGCGTGAAATAAAGTGTGTGCACTTCACCAGCGAGCTGGACTGGACCCACTGAACTTGGTACTTGCACCCAGGAGCTGTGATTCACTCAAGTGGAGTTAGAAGTTAATAGGTTTGAGGGTTTTTCAGAAGGAAATCGGAGGTAGACAATTGTCACGTAGATGCGTGTGAAGACCCTCAGGATGCTTATACCTGCGGTTGGTGATGGTGTTTCTGAGCATACACACGTGTACATACATGAGCACTGGCTCTGTGGTTGCAGTACACGCTTCCAGAGTGTTTCCGGTGATTTGGACTCCGTTTAACTTAGCCTGTGTGACGGTTGAGTGCTGACTCTGGGCCTAAATTGCACTGCACACCAAGGGGGTGAAGCGATGGAGATGCATTTGAGTGGCATGGACAGGATCCCAGGATGTCGGAGCTGAGGGGACCGCCCAGACCATCCCATCAGAACTGTCATTTGCGGGCAGAAGGCAGAGGCCGGAGGAGTGGAAGTGTCCCCCTTGCCCAACCAGCTGAACCGCCTGCCAGGGGAGTTCACATGTTCCAGAAGCTTCTCCATGGAGCCCCTCAGGTTCCCAGCTCTGGGCGCTGGTGGAGGTAGGATTCATTTCTCCACCCAGGAAAGCTGTCATAGCTTCAGTCCTCTACAGAACGTAGCCCCGTACAGAAACGTTCCTCAGAGAGGGACAGAGAGCCCAGGGACACCAGGAGTGTTCTGTGTGTGGTCAGGGCCCCGTCGGTGTGAGACAACACCGCGCACGCCCCAGTGGTGCAGAAACCACAGCCCTCAGTTACATGCTGTGACTGCGGTTTGATCCCATAGTGGCTGTTCTGAGGGGACATCTGGTGGGTAGAACGTCTGCACCCCCGTTCTTCCAGCATCAGGTCCTCCACTGGTGACTTCGGACGCATATAGCCCAGAACCTGGAATGTGTCACTACTTGTCCTACTTTCTCCTGTTGTGCTCTTTCTCTTCTCTCCCGAGCTTGTAGTTCTCTGAATGTGAATTCTCACCCTGCACAGCTGCCTGTAACTCCTGGGAGCTTGAAGTCGTATGACTCCAATAAGTCATGGCTTACCTGAGCTGACCTCCAACCAAGCCCCAAACATTGTCATTTAAAAAAATGTTGGCTTTCTATCTTTAGAAATTATCATGAAATAATTTTACCTAGAAGTGAAAATTTATATAATCCAATTGCTCATTTTTTGTGTAATTGTGGTGTATGTGTTTTTATGATGAATACTTAATGAATTTAGGTTGGAAATATTTTTTAAAAATTTTGGAGCCGTTTAGAGACAATGCTGTGAA